TCACTGGAGGGTAACTGACATGGCTTTATAGGCTACTTTTTCAATTCCGCGCTGTCAAAATGGCGTAACGGGTGGCCCAAATTTGCTCTAAGATTGAGGGCGACAGCTTGTTAATAATAAAACATCAACATTGGCGTAGAGTTTAAATATTTACTTAATTTTAACTTTTTACAAACTTGACGAATAGACATTTAACCAGAATCTTTATACTAAATACGAAGTCTTAGAAAGGGGATAACTATAAACTTACTTAACAGTCCAAGTTTATAAATAACATAGAATTACCAACTCTAAGTACTAACTTAAACCACAGTCAACGTTAGAAAGTAATAATAGTGATTTATATATAGAACTAGCAACGCGCTTTCTCTCTCATTGATCCGATAGCCGAGATAAAACTGTTTCCAGTACTGTACAATAACTGTACATAGTCGAGGACATTAATTTCCTAACCATTTGTGAACAACATAAAGCAATCGGGTAAACTGCATAGCTAAATTATATCTTACTAGCTGTTCCCGTGCGACTTCATCCGCATAAAATTTTGAATATTTTATTTTACTGTTTACATGTGTCAAATTATCAATTGCAAATGTCAAAATAACATGACGATGACAAACCATGGCAACCTTGCTTCTTTGATGTTGGCAGCAACTTATGGTCTCTTTCCCACATTAGGGTTTTTATCCAAAACATTTACCCCCTGAGTCTAATGGCGTGAAAATGTATAGTCTAAAGCGTGACGTAAGTGTAGGGATTTTAATTGAAAAAAGAATATTTCAAAAATATGCTGTAATTGCTGACATCTTAGGCAACAAAAAAGTGTGTGTTTACGCTTTATTATAATAGTATAGATGGAGACAGATGTAAGAAAAACATCTGCACACTCATCTCATAACCATTGAAAAAAAAGAGATAACTGTTATTTACAGGTGCACATTTAAACGTAATGTGTACACAACTCTTTATTGATTAAACCCTAGACGGGGATTGTCTGAGCAAAGACAACCAGCAACGTAGTAGTTCCGGGGATTCCCCATCAAGAAATTATAATTTTACAGATCATAAATTGATATTTCTGTTGATTCTTACTGCGAGTTTACATTGCTGAAACACCTACATAGAATAATATTCGTCGTTCCCGTGCGGCTTCATCCGCATGAAATTATGAGAATTTTATTTTATTGTTCAAATGTCAAATTATCAATTGCAAATGTTAAAATGATATGACTTGATGACAAAGCATGGCAATCTTGCTTCCTTAATGTTGGCAGCAACTTATGGTCTCTTTCCCACATTAGGGTTTTTATCCAAAATATTTGGCCCTAAGTTTAATGGCGTGAAAATATATAGACTAAATCACGACGTAAGTGTAGGGCTTCTTACTAATAAAATAACTATTCAAAAATATGTTGTAATTACTGACATCTTAGGCAACAAAGAATTGTGTGTTTACGCTTTATTATAATAGTATAGATGTATCCTTGTATGTACTTTAAAATGATTATTGCAGCTGTGTTTAAAAATAAAATTAAAAACCAAAATGTACCTTTACGGTATAGAAATTGCAATGCTCTAGAAACTAAAAGCGGAAACTCGATATCACCTTAAATAGACAACAATAGATCAACGTGTAGGGTGACCAACGTACACTAACGAAAGGAAAAGGCCTTTATTAAATTAAATGTAGTTTATTAAAACAAACGCCGAATGAGAAGCGTAATATCCTGTGTAGACACGAAAAGTTTTTATCCCGCATTTATCCTCCATAGATTAATAACCTCAAAAAATATAATAACTAACATCAAAAAAAATCATTGAATTTAGTAACTACAGTCATATGTCAAAGTATACTTCATAAAATCGGAATGTCCTTAATTTATCCTAAATGTTGGTAAAACTAACGACGAAGGGATCAATAACCCTAGTGAATAGAAAGCGGGCAAAATGAACAAAATGGTCGGTTGCTGGGCAACGGCGATGGGCAGGCGCCATTCCCTCGCCCACGCGTGGACGTTATACACAACTGTGTGATTGCAAATTACACTTGTGTGATATTCAGACATCTTTATAGGAAACAAAATAAAGAGAACTTAAGCTTTTTTTTGCAAGCAAAACAATTCACAGAAACTGATTAATTTGCACTATTACTGAGGGATTCGATAACACTTACGATTAAAAAAAATATTAAAATTCCTAGATAACAATTTGTCATCCGAGATATTAATACATGCTTTTACATATATTGCTGAAGATAAGCAAACTAATGGATAAGATTAAACAAGACGGATTCCGTGTAACAGTTCCCTAAAATTTGGTGCAAATAAAACAACTAGAAGAGCATATTTTCTAATTCACTTTAAAAATACGATAAAAAACCAATAAGGATGCAAATATAGACTGGAAATATAGGCATATTTATTATTACGTGAATTAAATAATACAGAAATACAAATCTTTCCTCTTTATAATATTAGTATAGATAGGAATTCAATGTGAAGCCGTTTAAAATTATAATCAAGTAATTGAAATTCAAAATAAACTGCAAGTTACTGGAGAGTCGCTGGAGAAAATCGGAACGTAGACGCTATAACAGTTGATTAACTATAAAAGTAACTCAAAAGACTTACCTCTAAGTCGTTCTTGGCGTGGTTTAGCTTCTCCAGGTATAACCGCAGAGCATCCACAGTGGTGATCTGCTCCTCTTCTATGTCGTTCTTATCCAGGATAGACTTAATCTTCTCCACCAGCTGGCAGAAGTCCTTCCAAATCTCCAGATCCTGTTCCAGCTGTGCCTGTCGCGATTTAGCAGAGTTCAACGTGTTCTTTAGCAGTTGGTTATGCTTCTGATGGTCTTTTGATAGTTCCTCCTGCTCGGATGCTGTTAGTGATGGCCAGATCTTGTCAACGATGTCTTGCATCTTCTTACCAACCAGGTCTTTCATTTCAGGTTCTGACGTGTTGAAGAATGATTTATGTTCTTCTAGGTCAGACTCGATGTTCTCAAAGTCAGTACCGTTTTTGCCCATGTCTAATCTTATTCCGGCTTCGTTCACCCAGATGTTTAATTTCTCGACCATTTGTATGTATTGCTGTCTGTATTTTTTGTTGTCTTTCAAATGTTTCTCCCTGTTTGCTAATTCCTCAGGAAGAGATGTCTTCAATGAGTTGCCCTCTGATACCATTTCTAGGAGAGATCCCGGCACACCGTCGTCGTTCTTTATAATGTCGGAGATCTTTGTAAATTTGTCCAAATAAGTTTGTACGTTCTTTGCTAATGCAGCGTGCTCGACTAGCTTCTTATCAACACTAGCGACATCTCTGTTCAAAAGTGGACGGGAATGTACCGCAGCTTCGTTGTCGTGCAGCCATTGTAAGATTTCAGAAAGATCTGCTGCGAGTTTCTTATGCTCGGCTGCTGCTCTTTCGTGTTCCTGCCTCTTTGATTCTACAAGTCTTCGTAATGTCAGGAGTTGCTGCTTCAACGACTGCAAAAGTTCAGTGATGTTGTTTCTATCAATAACAGTTCCTTCTGCTGCAATTTGCTGACCTTTGTCTGTAGCAGTAGCTAGCAGAGCTTCGCAACCTTGGATCTTTACTATAATATCGTCATAGCGTTTGATTTTGTCTTCCAGAGTATCATTAGACCTTTCGATTTCAGCGGTCACATCGGTATACTTAGTGATGAACTCTTCAATTTCTTTCACTAGAGCAAAGAACTGTTCACGAAGTAACAGAAGTTGTTTAAGTCTAGAAATTTGATCTTCGATAGTAGTAACCAGGTCATCCTGTTGCGTTAGTATATCTTGGAGGTCGTGAAGGTTTCCTCCTTGTAATTCATTGAGCATTGCCTTGTTCTTTTTCAAGTCGGCGAGAATAGATTCATAAGCCTGGATAACGGGTTGGACATCTTCAACTTTGCTACCAATGGGTTTGTTAAGAGCCTTTAGTTTGTTTTGAATTTCATTCAAGAATTCTAGAGCTGCAGCAATCTTGGCTGCGGCATCTTTATATTCCTTGATGTGCTTAATTAAAATATTCTTTTTGTCGTTGATAATAGCGTTGATTCTAGCGAATTTATCAGAGAGAACGTTTACTTGTTCTTTAAGTTGTAATTTATTTGAATCAGATAATGTTTCCATGATGTCCTTAGATTTGTCTTTGATTTTTGTAATATTCTTCTCCACATCTTCAGCTTCTTTGCTGAGCTTCTCAAACTTAGCAAGCTGTTCTTCCAAGAGTTGCAGACTGGTAGTACGGAGTTCAGGCGTGGCGGCAACTTCAGCCTCATTCAGCCAGCTTTGGCATTTGGCTACATCACTTTCGAATTCATTTCTGCCTTGCAAAAGTTTATTTAATGCTGCAAGTTTCTTATCAATATCTACTTTAGCTGATGTGTATTGTTTATTTAGTCCTTCTAAGATAGCTTGCAGTTTAGTACGATCTTCAGGTGAACAGTCTTTGGACACAGTATTTCCTTGGCGAATGACCTCAGAAAGTGTGTCGTTGTGGAAATCTGACAGCTCTTTTTGATGTTTCTTGTGAACGGCAATTTCTTTCTCTACCTTTCCAACTTCTAGTGGCACTGGACCACCGAGCTTTTTGATATCGGCCAATTTAGATTTAAGCCAATTCTTTGCCTTTTCAATATCATTCTCCAATTTCTTTCTGATTTCAGCACATCCGCTCAATCTTTCTATTTCCTGTTTAATAAGTGAGGCAAGTTGTTTCTGCTTTGATGCCAATTCGGATAACTCTGATTCCAATTGCATTTGTTCTGATGGTTCAAGTTCGGATTGGATGTTGCTGACCTTCTTCTCTAAAGAGTCAATAACTGTTTTCTTGCCATCTGTTTCTTTCAAAAGGTTGGCAATCTTCTTTTGTCTTTCTTTTACTGATTTACTTTCATAGCCAAGCGGCTCAGGATGAAGAATACTGTCGATTTCCTTTTGAAGCCATTCGTTTTGAGCGTTGACCTCGCTCTTGGTACCGTCAATTGCTTTGTAGGTGATTTCGAGCATCTGGAGTTTGCGTTGGATTCGTTTAGCGATATCATTATATCTTCTCTCTACTGACTTCATCTGAAACAAGCGTATGAGTGAGTTTAAAAATACTAAAAACATAATAAGTATTATGTAATGTTCAATTTTTACATGTTATTTTATACTTACTTGTTCTTCCACTTGCTGTGACTCCAAGTTACTCACAATGTTGATAACTTGTGTGCCTACGCTCTTGATGTTATCGACTTTATCTTTGCCAGCTTGTCCAAATTCATTGGACAGTTCCTTCAAAGCGCTGAGCTTCTGAGGACATGGGAGACCAGATCCTTTATCAGCGAGACACATCTTCTTCAATACAGCGTCGAACCAATCGTGGATCTCCTGGCATTTATGACGGAAGTCATCGATAATGCCTTGGTTGGACTTTTCCCTCTCAATTGCTTGGAGAATTGTCTTCTCGAGGTTATCCAGTTCTTCTTCAAGGTTGATTTCATCTTCTAAACCTAAATAAAATTATATACTTTAAACATTCAAGTGACCTAAATTTATAAATACTCTAAAAGTATAAATTCTCGGTCTTATGAGCATTGCGCACCGATATATCTGGACAGATTTAATACAAAGTTCGTGACTGAAACATCTCACTGGCGATATGCCAGATAAAATATTACCTTAGCAATGTATAAATTATTTACATATGATTTTCGTTATTATACGAATATGCCTGGCAACTAAGTTATTGATACATGACTCAGGAAGTAATAATTAGCATCAATTTTAAATAGCAAAAGATTGGTTCAACCAAAATTAGGAATCAGCATTTAATGTGTCTCATAAAAGTACACGAAGAAAAATTATCTCCACCATTCCTCAGGTCTAAAACTGTTTAGAAAAAGAACATAAAACATACCTTCTGTTGGTATTTCAGTGAGCAATCTGTTCCTCTTCTCAGCAAGTGAGGCCAAGGCGTCGCTCATTGCGGCCATGTCATTTTTAGCCGCTTCAGGTCGCAGTTTGGATGGGTTAGACAACCAATCGTGGGCGAGAGCCTTGTGAGTGTTTATCCAATCCTGTATCTCAAGGACTTGCTTCATAGCCTCCTCCATACCGTGGACCGCATCACCCAGGGTTTCCAGATGACTTTGTACCTAAATGAAAGAGTATTTTGAGTATCAAGATTATCTAAGTGTATTATAGCTTTGTAGATTAGTATTGTGTTTACAGCTTATTTACAGTGTGTTATTATCAAGTGTTTTAAGCATTGCCGAGTGCTTCGTTTTACATAAAACAATGTTTTTTACAACTGTGATATATGGCTTATTTCAGTGCTAGTTGAGCCCATAGTCAGCAAGGTTTTTTCCCAGCCCTGTATTCTTTTAGGACTTCTCGAACCACTATAAAGTTTGGTCACCCCAGTTACTGTACCGCACTTGCCAATTCATGGGTATGCTAAAGCCTTACCTTCATTTGCAACGAGTTCATTTTCTCGCTGAATTCTGGTGATTCGAGGCTCTTAAGTAACACATCGACCCTCGGCGCAGCCAGCTCGCTCACATATTGCTATGAACAAACACCATGCTCAACACCGTGCAGGTTAGTATTGCTACGTTATTTATGTGTACACGACTCATGTGGGACACAAAGAAATATCTATGTCATTAAGGGATCTCGCCTTATGTTAGGAGTAAATTTATTTTTGAAGACTATTGGTCTATTTATTATTGGTAAATATAATTAGACTATTATTTTGATAAAAGAATAATTTGAAAGACATTTTGATTCAGTTTATTACTTTTTGATATTAATTTAAAATCAACTACATATTTAAAAATTTTTCGAAGTTCAAGTAACTAATAATAATCGTAAGTAATAATTGTAACATGTCTTTGAGTAATAGAAAGGTACATAATTAGTCAACTTGGCAAAAGCCGGTCAATTCTGATTTAAATATTTATATTTCATATAAAAATAACTTTCTGGCCCACATAATGGAATCACAGTGTATTGAAAGTGAAAATAATGTGCGGTTCACACGAGTGCACGTGTACAAACAAAGGCAAAAGTGTAGACTCGCCTTATGCATTATCAGTCACAGCTTGAACAAACATAGAACTGAGCCAATTTATATTGTAATTCAAATTCAAATATTTACTACCATACTAAGGGCCTGTCTCACAACTGGTTGATAGAGGCTTAAAGCTTAAAAATGACGTCACTGTCAAGGGAACAAAATCCGATATTTCCATGACATATTTTACACGGATTGTTATCAGATAATTTATAATTTGGTAGGACAGGCACTAAAGATCGTTAACAAATAACTAAGAGAGACCCTTACTGTGGTTGTAAAACAAAAATTACAGTAAAGGGCATGTCTAGGTTACCACGAATAGAGTGGTCAAATTCGTTGGGAGCAGTTAAAATTAACAAACTAACATTAAAAATATAATTGGCTCTTTTCAGCATTGTTTTTAAATTCAAAGCAGACACGTGTTCACAACAAGTTATGAAATCCGTTAACATCGAATGATACCAGGTGCAAAAAAACACATTGCCAACGTCTACGCCTGTCCTTTTTTATTACTAACTACGGCATAGTCTAACTACCACATCGAGTGATTTTTTTTTAATATATAACAATTTCTTACTTCACATTTTATGCTAACTCGTTGGTTCTGTTCTTTTTCGGACCTGGCAAACTCAAAGCTTTATAAACAGCAAGATATTAAATAACTGTGCATTTGCTGGCTTAAGGTATTTTAAACTTCTGATATTTATTCTTTGGAGATCTAATACATAAACACAAAACATCAAAAACAATCACGTAACACTCCATGCTTTTGGGGTAATCTTACCTACTACCCCCAATAATGCACCCTAGAACCCTACCTCATATAATATTAACAAACATTGCCTAATAAAACTCCACAGATCGATTTCACAAACAGTAGGAAAAGCCATTATAGGTAAATAATAAAAAATCCACATCGAAAAGATAAATCAGAATATGAATAAAGAAGTGACAAGGCAAGAAAACTCATTATAGAAACTCATTAAAAAAACGGTATTATTACCCTAGTCCCTAATGCCTAATTTGCACCAAGGTAATAATTTAAACGAGTTGATTATCTAATAAAGACGAGAGTACTTTACTAAATTACTAGTCAAACAATTTAGTCAAGCGTCAAACATCAGTCTCATCCAGCAGGTCAGTGGCGAGTATGTTGGCAGCCGCGGCCAGTACCTGGTCTATGAGGTCCTCGAGACGTGC